ACTAATAAAGGAGAAGAAGAATCAAACAGACACAATAAAAATGATAAAGGGAATGATCCCAGAGAAATAAAAACTACCATCAGAGAATACTGTAAACACCTCTATGTAAATAAACCAGAAAATCTAGAAGAAATGGATAAATCACTGGACACATAAACCCTCTGAAGACTAAACCAGAAAGAAATCGAATCCCTGAATAGACAACATGTCCTGAAATTGAGGCAGTAATGAATGGCCTACCAACCAAAAAAAGCCCAGGACCAGATGAATTCACAGCCAAATTATACCAGAGGTACAAAGAAGAGCTAGCACCATTCCTTCTGAAACCAAACAACAGAAAAAGAGGGACTCCTCCCTAACTCATTTTAGGAGGCCAGCATCATCCTGATACCAAAACCTGGCAGAGACACAACAAAAAAAGAAAATCTCAGGCCAATATCCCTGATGAACATTAGTGTAAAAATCCTCAACAAAATACTGGCAAACCAAATGCAGTAGCACATCAAAAAGCTTATCCACCATGATCAAGTGGGCTTCATCCCTGGGATGCAAGGCTGGTTCAACATATGCAAATCAGTAAATGTAATCCATCACATAAACAGAATCAATGACAAAAACAACATGATTATCTTAATAGATGCAGAAAAGGTCTTTGATAAAATTCAACACTCCTTTATGCTAAAAACTCTCAATAAACTAGGTACTGATGAAACGTATCTCAAAATACTAAGAGTTATTTATGACAAACCCGCAGCCAGTATCATACTGAATGGGCAAAAGCTGGAAACACCCCCTTCAAAAACCAGCCCAAGACAAGGATGCCCTCTCTCATCACTCCTATTCAGCATAGTATTGGAAGTTCTAGCCAGGGAAATCAGGCAAGAGAAAGAAAGAAAGAAAGGATATCGAATAGGAAGAGAGGAAGTCAAATTGTCTCTGTTTGCAGAGACATGATTGTATATTTAGAAAACCCCACTGTCTCAGCCCAAAATCTCCTTAAGCTGATTAGCAACTTCAGCAGTCTCAGGATACAAAATCAATGTGCAAAATCACAAGCATTCCTATACACCAATAATAGACAGAGAGTCAAATTATGAGTGAACTCCCATTCACAATTGCCACAAAGAGAATAAAATACCTAGGAATACAACTTACAAGGGATGTGAAAGACCCCTTCAAGGAGAACTACAAACCACTGCTCAAGGAAATAGGAGAGCACACAAATAAATGGAAAAACATTCTATGCTCATGCATAGGAAGAATCAATATTGTGAAAATGGCCATGCTGCCCAAAGTCATTTATAGATTCAATGCTATCCCTATCAAGCTACCATTGACTTTCTTCGCAAAATTGGAAAAAACTACTTCAATGTCCATAGAGAACCAAAAAAGAGCCCGTATAGCCAAGACAATCATAAGCAAAAAGAACAAAGCTGGAGGCAGCACGCTACCTGACTTCAAACTATACTACAAAGGCTACAGTAACCAAAGCAACACGGTACTGGTACCAATACAGTACCAGAGATATAGACCAATGGAAGAGAACAGACCCCTCAGAAATAACACCACTCATTTACAACCATATGATCTTTCACAAACCTGACAAAAACAAGCAACGGGAAAAGGATTTTCTATTTAATAAATGCTATTGGAAAAAATGGCTAGCCATATGCAGAAAAATGAATCTGGACCCCTTCCTTACATCTTATACAAAAATCAACTCAAGATGGATTGAAGACTTAAATGTAAGACCTAAAACCATAAAAACCCTAGAAGAAAACCTAGGCAATGCCATTCAGGACATAGGCATGAGCAAAAACTACATGACTAAAACACCAGAACCAATGGCAACAAAAGCCAATATTGAAAAATGGGATCTAATTAAAGAACTTCTGCCCAGCAAAAGAAATTATCATCAGAGTGAACAGGCAACCTACAGAATGGGAGAAAATTTTTGCAATCCATCCATCTGACAAAGGGCTAATATCCAGAATCTACAAAGAACTTAAACAAATTTATAAGAAAAAAAAAAAAACAACCCCATCAAAAAGTGGGTGAAGGATATGAACAGACACTTCTTAAAAGAAGACATTTATGTGCCAACAAACACATGAAAAAAAGCTCATTATCACTGGTTACTGGAGAAATGCAAATCAAAACCACAATGAGATACAAACTCATGCCAGTTAGAATGGTGATCATTAAAAAGTCAGAAAACAGATGCACTGTTCACAATAGTGCCCATCAATGATAAGTGCCCATCAATGATAAGACTGGATAAACAAAATGTGGCACATATACACCACGGATTCCTATGCAGCCATGAAAAAAGGATGAGCTCATGTCCTTTTCAGGGGCATAGATGAAGCTGGAAACCATCATTCTCAGCAAACTAACACAAAAACAGAAAACAAACATCACATGTTCTCACTCATAATGGGAATCGAACAATGAGAACACATGAACACATGGACACAGGGAGGGAAACATCACACACCAGGGCCCGTCAGGGGGTAGGGGACTAGGGGAGGGACAGCATTAGAAGAAATATCTAATGTAGACGATGGGTTGATGGGTGTAGCAAGCCACCATGGCACATGTATACCTATGTAACAAACTTGCATGTTCTGCACATGTATATCAGAACTTAAAATATAATTAAAAATAAATATATAAAATTAAATTAAAAATATAAAGAAACACAAAAGATTATTTAAAAATACAATAAAAAACAGTATGTCAACAAATTAGTTAACCTAGATGAAATGGCCAAATTTCTAGAAGGACAGAAACTACCAAATTGACTCAAAAAGTAACAGAAAATATGAATAAACCTGTGAAAAGCAAAGGGACTGAATTCATAACCAAAAATCCACCCCCAAGAGGGATCCAAGAACAGATGGCTTCAACGGTAACCTCTACTAGATATTTAAAGAGAAATTAATCCCAATCCTTAAAAGCTCTTTAATAAAATGGAAGAAACACTTCCAACTATATTTATGATGTCATTATCCTGATATCAAAACTAGAGAAAGTATATGAAAACTATTAAATAAAAAACCCTATCTATTAGTAATACACATATTAGAAATATTGCAGGTTCAGTTCCAGATGATTGCAAAAAAGTGAGTATTCCAATAAAGGTAGTCACAAGAAGTTTTTGTTTTCCCAGTGCCTATAAAAGTTATGTTGACACTATAGTCTATTAAGTGTGTAATAGCATTATGTCTGAAGAAGTACCCATACCTGTGGTGTAATGCTATATATTGGTTCTCATCCATGGTTCTTGGCTCGTATCTCCAACAGCCCTTGTTACAGTCTTTGGTGTGTCAGGTCTCAGGAGCAGGCCCAGGAAACAGAATCTCTCCTGCCCTCCTTTCACCTGGCCTAAAACAGGACTCTAATCACCTGCTTTTGTAACTATGGGTCTTAAGACCCTCCTTAGAGATGGTCTTGCCCTATACCCTGGAAGAAGAAATGCTGATGTCAAGAAGCTTCCATAAAAATCGAAGAAGGCTGGGTTCAGGAGGTTCCAGATAACTGAACATGTGAAGGGCCCTGGAGGCTGGTACACCCAGGGAGGGCCTGGAAGCTCCACACTCATTGCCCATGCCTTGCCCTATGCTTCTCTTGATCGGTATCCTCTGTAATACCCTCCTAGATATTACTTATTCTAGTAATATCTGTAATAACTAGAATAAGCCAGTTAAGTATTTCCTTGAGTTCTATGAGCCACTCCAGCAAATTAATCAAACCCAAAGAGGGGGTTCATGGAACCCCAACTTGAAGCCAATCAGTCAGAAGTTCCAGAGGTCTGGACTTGCAACTGGTATTTATGGGTGGGGGCAGTCTTGGGGACTGAGCCCTCACCCTGTGATATGTGACACTGTCACCAAGTATACAGTATCAGAATTGAATTAGAGGGCACCCAGGTGGTGTCCACTGCTTGGTATGTGGGGAAAACCATCCAGGCCTCTGGTCACAGAAGTCTTCCTCTGCATTGCTGACACTATTGTGGTGGTATGAAAATAGAGGAAAAAAAGCTCAGATTGAGAGAGTTTTTCCTGACAAAATATCTTAATTTAAGAATACTTTACTGTTAAAAAAAATTCTGACAATCATCTCCATCTTCGGCGAGTGGTAACCTTTTTGCTGGAGAATCTTGCTTCAATGTTGATACCTGCTGAATGATCAGGGTGGTGGCTGCTAAAGGGTGAGGTGGCTGTGGCAGTTTCTTAAATTAAAACAATGAAATTTGCCCACTGATTGATTCTGCTTTCATGAAACACTTATCTGTAGCATGTGATACTATTTGATGGCATTTTACCCCAAGTAGAACTTGCTTCAAAATTGGAGTTAATCCTCTCAAACCCTGTCACTCCTTTATCAACTAAGAATATATCTAAGGATATATTCTAAATCCTTTGTTGTCATTTCAACAATGCTCACAGGATCTTTGCCAAAAGTAAATTCCCTCTCAGGAAAGCACTTTCTCTGCTCATCCATAAAAAGCAACTTGTCATCTGTTAAAGTTTAAACAAGAGATTACAGCAATTCAGTCACATCTTCAGGATCTACTTCTCTTTTTAGTTCTCTTGCTGTTTCTACCACATCTGCAATTGTTTCCTCTTGAAGCCCTCAAAGTTATCTATAAGGGTTAGAATCAACTTCTTCCAAACTTCTGTTAATTCTAACATTCTGACCTCCTCCCATGAATCAGTAATGTTCTTTTTTTTTTAATTTGGCAACCTCCGCCTCCTGGGTTCAAGTGATTCCCCTGCCTCAGCTTCCCGAGTAGCTGAGACTACAGGTGTATGCCACTACAACCGGCTAATTTTTTTTTTTTGGTGTTTTAGTAGAGACAAGGTCTCACCATGTTGCCAGGATGGTCCTGATCTCCTGACCTTGTGCTCTGACTGCCTCAGCTTCCCAAAGTGCTGGGATTACAGGCATGAGCCACTGCAACCTGCCGAATCAGTAATGTTCTTAATGGCAATTAGTGAATCATTTCTAGAAGGGTTTCAATTTACCTTGTCCAGATCTACCAGAGGAATCACTATCCATGGCAGCTATGGCCTTACAAAATGTATCTTTTATAACAAAACTTGAAAGTATAAATTACTCCTCAATCCATAGGCTGCAGAATAGATGTTCTTGTTTTCAGGGCATGAAAACAACATTAATATCCTTGTGTATCTCCATCAGAGCTCTTAGGTAATCAAGTACATTTTCAGTGAGCTGTAATATTTTTAAAGGAATTCTTTTTTCTGAGCAGTACGTCTCATCAGTAGATGTGATGGTTAATACTCAACTTGATTGGAATGAAGGATGCAAAATATTGTTCCTTGGTGTGTCTGTCAGCGTGTTGCAAAGGAGATTAACATTTGATTCAGTGGACTAGGGGAGGTAGACCCACCTTCAATCCAGGTGGGCACCATATAATCAGCTGCCAGCTCAGCTAAGATAAAAGCAGGCAGAAGAATGTGGAAAAATTAGTTTGGGTAAGTCTTCTGGCCTCCATCCTTCCCCGTGCTGGATGCTTCCTGTTCTTGAATATCAAACTCCAAGTCCTTCAGCTTTAGGACCAGTGGTTGGACAAGGGCTCTTCGGCCTCCAACAACATAGTGAAGGCTGTACTGTCGGCTTCCCTACTTTTGAGGTTTTGGGACTCAGACTGGCTTCCTTGTTCCTTAGCTTGCAGAGAGCCTATTGGGGGACTTCAACTTGTGACTGTGGGAGTCAATACTCTTCAATAAACTCCCTTTTGTATATACAACTATCCTGTTAGTCCTGTCCTATTAAAGAACCCTGACTAACACAGATTTTAGTACTGAAGTAGCTCTAGAGAAACAAAAGTTTAAAGATGGAGTTTTTCAGTTGGTTTTGGGGTTTCTGGAATTGTCTGCTTAATATGATTAGACCCAAAAATGTTAAGGACTCTACTTCTAATAGTATGGAGAACACTGATAGTCCTTGGCATGAACTGTTTAAAGAGTTACGCAAATAAATGCATTTGATACTCCTAATTCACTGCTTGTGAGAGGCAAAGAGTTTAGTGACTCTATACATAATGCCTTTGACCATGTGTAAAGAACCAAGGAATATAATGAAGTTGGTTGATTGCTCCTAAGTTCACTAGACAAAGTGATGAAAGAAAACTATGAACTCAGGGATTCTCTCGGCCCAAGAGGAACATACTGAGTTTCAAATCTTCTAAGATTGCCCTGATTAAGAGTTTTATCTCCTGCCAAGAAAGAGCTGAAATTGTGGAAAATCAGACACAAGCTCTTATCATGCAAGTGGCTAACCTGCAACAAAAGGTGCATACACAGCCTTGCAAGGTGTTTACTGTTAAAGTGAGGGCATTGACTGTAAAAAAAATGGGACTTCTGGGAGAACCCTGATGAGGCTGGGGGCACTCAGCTCCTAAATTCTGATGAGCCTTTTTTTGCCAGAGGAAATAGCCTCCCCAGTCCCAGTGGTGGCAACATCACCAACCCATTCCCTCCCCAACCGTGGCGGCTGTCAGCCTTTCTACCATTGTCTGAGATGTATCCAACACTGCCTGAAGCAATAGTGATGGCCTCCCAAGCAGCTGCCAGGCAAGGCAATGCTGATTCACCTCAGGACCTACCCCCAACATCTCTGTTTGCTTCCAGGTCTGTAATTAAATTCCCGGCAGACCCCTAAAGGTGAGATTTAAAGTGTGACCCACTATGAGGTGTACTATACTCCCACGATAACTGCTTGAGTTTTCTAGTTTATATAAGCCTTCTTGGAGAACAGGCATGGGAATGAATATTAACGGTGTGGGATAATGGTGGAAGAAATGTAAAGTTGGATCAGGCTGAATTTATTGATTTGGGCTCACTACGCAGGAATTCTGCAATTAATGTTGCAGCTTGGGGAGTTTTTTTTTTTTTTATGTGTCTTAAGGACTTTTAAAAAAAATTATACTTTTAAGTTCTGGGGTACATGTGTAAAACGTGCAGGTTTGTTACACAGGTATACATGTGCCATGGTGACTGGGGAGTTAAAAAAGGTTCTCATAGTTTATTTGCTTGGTTAGCTGAAATATCAATTAAATGATGGGCTCAAGGCCAGGAGCAGTGGCTCATGCCTATAATCCCAATACTTTGGGAGGCAAAGGCAGGAGGATCATTTGAGGTCAGGAGTTCGAGACAAGCCTGGCCAACATAGTGAAACTGCATCTCTACTAAAAATATAAAAATTAGTTGGGTATGGTGGTGGGTGCCTTTAATCCAAGCTATTTGGGAGGCTGAGGCAGGAGAATTGCCTGAACCTGGGAGGTGGAGGTTGCAGTGAGCCGAGACTGTGCCATGCACTCCAGCCTGGGTGACAGAGCAAGACTCCATCCCTGCACCCCCCGCCACCCCCTAAAAAAGATGGCCTTCTTTGAGAAAGCTGGAAATGCCTGATCTCCCTTGATTTAATGTAGAGGAAGGGATCCAAAGGCTTAGGGAGATTGAGATGTTAGAGTGAATTAGTCACTTTAGACCTACTCATCCCAGCTGGGAGGTTCCAGAAGACATACTCTTGACTGATGCTGTGCAAAATAGATTTACAAAGGCAGCACCTGAATCCTTAAAGAGCTCTGTTATTGCTCCTCTGTATGCCAGATTTTACGGTGGAAACCATGCTCACTTAACTACAAAATTTAAATGCAACAAAAGTAATTGGATCCCAAGGTGGCAGGGGCCAAGTGGCAGTACTCAACTGTCAAAGGCAAGGTGGGCGTAGTTACCATAATGAACAGTAGAGGCAAAGCAGCAATCAGAATAGTCTGACTCATATAGAGCTCTGGCATTGGCTAATCACAGTGTTCTGAGAAGTAAAACTGACAGGAAGCCTATTGCATTATTAACTTATATAAACAGAAAACTTCCAGGTCAAGTGAACAAAAGACTGATGTGAATTATTAAAAAAAGATTCACAGCTCGTCATTTCATTTCCAGACCTTGAACTACTTACAAACCCAGAACCCCTTGAATGAAGGGGAGGCTGGGTCCTCTTGAGGAATGACCCCACTACACTACTGACAATTTATGCTATTGATCTTTCTCCCATACTTCCCCAAGGAGACCTTTTACCAGGATAATTGTGCATTGGGGAAAGGGAAATGGTCAGACATTTTGGGGACTACTGGACACTAACTCTGAGCTGACACTGATTCCAGGGGACCCAAAATGTCATTGTGGTCTTCCAGTTGAAATGGGGTCTTATGGAGGTCAGGCAGTTAATGGAGTTTTAGCTCAGGTTCGACTTACAGTGGGTCCCGAGACTCATCCTGTGGTCATTTCCCCAGTGCCAGAATTGGGCATAGACATACTTAGCAGCTGGTGAATCCCCACACTGGTTTCCTGACTGGTAGAGTGAGGGCTATTTGGTGGGAAAAGCTAAATGGAAGCCATCAGAGCTGCACTACCTAGAAAAATAGCAAATTAAAAACAGTATTGCATTCCTAGAGGGATTGCAGAGATCAGTGCCACCAAGAACTTAACAGACACAGGGTGGTGATTCTCACCACATCCCCGTTCAACTTCCTATTTGGCCTGTGTGAAATACAGATGGATCTTGGAGAATGACAGCGGATTGTCATAATCTTAACCAAGTGGTGACTCCAACTGTGGCTGCTGTACCAGATGTGGTTTCATTGCCTGAGCAAATTAATACATCTCCTGGTACTTGGTATGCAGCCATTGATTTGGCAAATGCCTCTTTCTCCATTCCTGTCCATAAGGCCCACCAGAAGCAATCTGCCTTCCGCTGGGAAGGCCAGCAATATACCTTTACTGTCTTACATCAGAGGTATAGCAACTCTCTGGCTTTGTGCCATAATCTTGCTCCCAGAGATCTTGATCATTTTTCCCCTCCACAAGGTATCACACTGGTCCATTACATTAATGACATCATGCTGATTGGATCCAGTGAGCAAGAAGCAGCAAACACAATGGACTTTTCAGTGAAACATCTGTGTGCCAGAAGATGGGAAATAAATGACTAAAATTCAGGGACCTTCTACCTCAGTAAAGTTTCTAGGAGTCCAGTGGTGTGGGGTCCATTGAGATATCCCTTCGAAAGTGAAGGACAAGTTGCTGTACCATGAAAAGAGGTACAATGCCTAGTGAACCAATTTGGATTTTGGAGACAACACACCCCTCATTTGGGTGTGTTAATACTGCCACTTTATCGAGTGACCCAAAGGACTGCCAGTTTTGAGCGGGGTCCAGAACAGAAGGCTGTGCAGCAAGTCCAGGCTGCTGTGCAAGCTGCTCTGCTACTTGGGCCATATGACCCCACAGAATCAATGGTGCTTAAGGTGTCAGTGGCAGATGGGGAGGCTATCTGGAGCCTTTGGTAGTCCCCAAGGGTGAATCACAGTAGAGGCCTCTAGGATTTTGGAGCAAGGTCCTGCCATCTTCTGTAGATAAATATTCTCCTTTTGAGATAGCTCTTGGCCTGTAACTTGGTTTTGGTAGAAACTGAATGTGTAACTATGGGTCATCAAGTCACTATGCGACCTGAACTATCATGAACTGTGCTTTCTAACCCATTTAGCTATAAGGTACGGCATGCAGAGCAGCATTCCATTATCAAATGGAAGTGGTATATACATGATCAGGCTCTAACAGGTACTGAGGCCACAAATAAGTTCCATGAGGAAGTGGCTCAAATGCTCAGGGTCCCTATTCCTGCTACTATGCTTTCTCTCCCCCAGCCTGCACTGATGGCCTCATGGGGAGTTCCTTATGAACAGCTGACAGAAAAAGAAGAAAAGGACCTAGTTTATAGATAGCCCTGCACGATATGCAGGCACCACCTGAAAATGGACAGCCACAGCACTACAACCCCTTTCTAGGACATCTCTGAAGGGCAGTGATAAAGGGAAATCTTCCTAGTGGGTAGAACTTTGAGCAGTACACCTTGTTGTGCACTTTTCTTTGAAGGAGAAATGGCCAGATGTGCGATTATATACCGATTCACGGGCTGTAGCCAATGGTTCGGCTAGATGGTTGCAGACTTTAAAGAATCATGATTGGGAAATTGGTGACAAAGAAATCTGGGGAAGAGGTGTGTGGATGGACCTCTCTGAGTGCTC